CTTCATTTTCGAGCTTTTCTTTCCTTCGAGTAATAAATATGAAAGTTTGTCGTTTTCAGTTAAAAAGTAAAAAAAAGTTTCTTATCTTGAATTCCTTGAGTTTTTAGTTGATTGACAAGAAATCGTTCACGGTTGAATCCCAGTTTTGGCGTCCAAACAGGAACTAAGCGATTTTATATTCTGACTTCAAATGTTAAAATTTTCTTTCCTTTTTATTATTTCCAATCGATCCCCTTGATTGCTGAACACAATTACATTTTCACCAGATTTCCATATTGAATTTATTTATCACAAATCCATATTCTTAAATCTGTATAACCCAAAATCCTAAGCCATTCTCTGTTGATCCACTACCATTGCAATAAGCTATGGAGATAAAGGGGACGGATGTTTATTTCGTCGGCCAAGATAGAGGGGAAAGAAATGGAAGTTTTCAACTGAAATATCATTTAGTCTACTTAGAGGTTTGCATGTAGTTTAATTGGCCGTTGGAGAGGGTAGGGGTTTGATAACAAATTTTAGTTTCCTTGGCAACCTCCTCACTGTTAGTTAAGGTTATTAGGCATTCTTCTTTGTTTTGGTTAACAATTTCGTCCTTAAATTGAATGTGTTTACTTTTGTCCTATTACTTAATGTTGGTCTAAGTTAAAATAATATAATTTAATTTATACATAATTTACATGTTAAATATGTAAACTACATTTGATTAATTGAGTTTGACTAATGTACTTGCTTCAAATAATTTTATCTAAAACAAAGGGTCTGGAGAACTGGGGCCTCTCACAACGGATTAGTTGGAAAAGTATTTTGATAACAAAGTGGATATGGGTTTTTCTTTGAATGTGTACTAGATTTTTAAAGGAGGAGAACTGTTTGAAGACAGTGGCTCGATGGAGAATTTGTGGAAAGAAGATAGTAATGATGAAATTAAGCAAGAAAAACTCTAGATGTTTTCCAAGTTCGTATCTGTGATTTTCCATACCCGTCATTGTGTTCAAAAATCTCTATACTTTGTTGGAATGAGAAAAGGTCAAACAAGAAATTTGGTATCCCAGCGGGACAGATTTCTACTGCAGCATCTCACACATATCTTGATGTATTCGTAGTTGCTGATGAATACTGTAATTGCTCCCATAATAATTTTTTTTTTTTCTGATCTAGTCAACTTAGCATAGATTGAAGATATTAAAATATCTGTTGAGTCCTAGCAATTGATCGAATTGTAAATTAAGGGAATGCTCAGTTTTAGACGGAATTTTAATATCGAAGTTAGATGTTGAAAAAATCCAGATTTTCCCATTATTAGCGCGAAAGGCTTTTGCAAAGTTTCAGAGGGTTTTATAATGATCCAATTCATAATTACTTACCATTGGCTCTAACAAAATTTAAAAAATAAGATACTATAAGCTTATTAATTTTTTTGACCTTCGCAAGGATGGTTTCCCTTTCATCCTGCAGATATTCCATATAAGGGACGTAGTCATTTACCCCGAAGATTTTCAAGATTTCTTGAAAGAAGGCAAAACCGAAGTGAACCTGAATCACGACGTAAAGCACCAAGGAGAAATTGTTACTGGCGTTTCTTGCCGCAAGTCACTACAATTTGTTAGTTGCTTTGTTGATTAAAACAAATTTCACTCCATATCCGTAAGAAATGTTGTTGGGCTGTAGAACCGTAGCTTGCTAGTATAGTCAGTCTTGTTTATTTAAATTATATGTTCTTCCACATTACTCTAATTGGTTTATTTTGTTTATTCGGTACATCAAAACTTGAAACGTGGCAATAGTTTGGTGAAAATGGACGGTGTGGTTTATATTTCACTCATGAAAATAGAATTTAATATGGCATTGTTATCAATATATGATAATTCTTTCAAAAACAAAAATCAAGTAGACTTAGGCTCCGTTTGGTTGGAATGAATTGGAATTGAATTAGAATTACAATCCAAAAAAAATTGAAATTAAAATATTGGGATTGCAATTCAATCTTAATTTATTTGTTTGGGAGATCTTAATAATTGACTAGAATTAAGGTTCTAATACCAATTCTTGCGTTTGGATGCTTCAAAATTTGGATACTTTAGAATTGAAATTAATTTGTTACTAGATAATTAATACAATTTATACTTCATGTCAAATTTTTTTTTTAAAAAAAAACTTAATTTCCTATGTCAAAATAATCTATCACGGATATGTATAAAACAAAAAAAAATCATTGTGTACATGTATATTAGATTACTTTGTTGTCCTTTAAACTAATCCTTTTGAAAAAATAATTTTTATTTAATTTGCTATATTATTTTGTGATTTATTATGTACACACTTTTTGTAGGAAACAAAAGAAACATTATTGCGTAAGAATTATTACTATGATATGTAAACATCCTTGAGTCCCTCTCTTTTATTACTTTTCAAAATTTTTAATTTTTGGTTTATTGATTTTTCCCTATATTAGTAAAAAATATTGTATATAATATAGATTCATTTTATGAATATTAATTTCTATTATATATGTTGACATTATTTTTTGGAATTTGCTTAAAATTTTTTAGTTTTAGTATATAGTTATATATGAAAAAACATATACTTAAAATTCAACTTACAGAATTTTTGATGAAAAAATGCCATGTATTATTTAATATATATATATATATATTAATATAGGTGTACATATGGAACAATTATAAAATATTTTTGAAAATTTTATGGTGTTTACTGTGTCAGTATATAATAAAAAATTCTAACCCAAAATTAAAATATTTATCTATTAATTTTTTTGGGACAATTATACTTTTGATTTTTTCTCAAAAAAATATAATGTTAATTTTAGATTGATTTCGTTGATGATGATGATGATGATAATAATAATAATAATAATAATAATAATAATAATAAGAAGAAGAAGAAGAAGACAAAAAGCTGAAAAAAAGAAAAACAAAACGAAAAGAAAAAGGGCAAGGGCTGAAAGCCAAAAAAAAAAGAAAAGAAAAGGACTTAAGGGAAAAAAGGAAGAGATGACCCGTTTATGTTATAACCCGGAAATGACCCGGTTTAGACCCGCGAATTTTTTTTTAATCCCTTGAATTTGAATTCCAATTATTTACCCCCACAAAAGAATTAAAATCAAAGAATTGAACCCAAAATAGTATTACAATTCCAATTCTTCCACTTCAATTTTTGTTAACCAAACACAAGAATTGGAATTAAAGAGCTCCAATTCCAATTCTTGGTCTCAATTCAATGCAACCAAACGGAGCCTTATAGATTTCCGACGAATTAATCGTAAATGGTTGGATTCCTTTTATCAACCTCGGCGAATTATTTTTCATTTCCTCACTTATTGACTACCGCACCCACCGTCAAATATCTCAAACAATTATTTTTCCATCCAACTCTCCCTCCGTAAAAGAAAAATTAATTCCATCAACAGTTGATAATAAAATCTTTAATCCTGCCAAAACAAGCTTATGCAGTGAACGTGTAGAGTAAACAGATCTAGGCAATTAACAATTCCATGATTCATCTTTTAAGCAGACCTCGTAAAGTCTAAGCATTTGACCGAGGTCATCAATATAAGAGAAAATGCATCACAAGATCCAACTACCAACTTTTGTAAATGTAAATTCCGCATAACGTCTTCCGTGATAAAGTCTACGATAGAGTATAGCATAAATTTGTTGACGTGAAAATCTCTAGGTCATTAGGGATCATTCCAAGTCATGATGATCACTATATTATTATGGTTGTACATGACTTGAATATCTTCAAAATGGTTCATTTGGTAAGTGTTGTAATCAAAGATTATGAAAGATTGAGACCAAAGTTAGGCGTGTTGAAATCAAGTCGGCGGAACAACGCAATCAATATTATGAGATCTCGTCGACCTCGAATGTCAGCTGACAATAAAATCGACAATCTATCGTTGACCTTGCCGTCAATGGATTTACGTCGACAACAAAGTTGACAAACGGTGCGTCGAGTACTTCGTCGAGGCAAGACAACCGACGGCAAAGTCAACAGCAGAACCTTAGTTTTCGAGTAACAGGTTTTCAACAATTTTTCTTGAAGTTTTACAAGATTTTTGGCCTTCCACATGTCAAATCAGACTCCACGGAGGATTTACAAGGTGGTGGATGAGAATTTGAATTTTTATTAAAGAGAAATTGTATTTTATTATGTTTTTCTTTTTGGACTAGGTTTTTTTTCCTATTTGTGTTGGGTTTTGAATTTTCCTTGATATATTCGACCCTCACACGTTTTTCTCATTTATTTTCCTAAGTTTTGGATTTTTTCTTAAAAAAAAGAAAAAAAAGAAAAAAAGATATAGATCGTACAAAAAGTAAAACTAGTATACATAGTTGCTGTTTTAAATTCCTATTAGAATTAGGGTTTGGAAAATCCCTTTAAAGTTGTTGGATGGAGATTAGGGTTTTCGAAAATTTATAAACCCTAGAAGTTTAGTTGGCCGAGAATTAGGGTTTTCAAATATCAATTACCCAAGTTCAAATATTTCTTTATATTGTGCTCCACAATTTGATCCTTGCTTTGCGAGATTTTTTTTAATATTTGTGACATCAATAATCTATTTTGTTTTCTTCATAGATTCGTTACAAACATTTAGGATATCATAAAATTCTTGTACATTCGTTTATTTATTTGCTTAGTAACCTCATTGCACAAAGATTAAAGACTTAAGGACCGTGGTAAAAGAAGAGTGAATCTTTCCCTTTTTACTATTTCTAAATCTATCTGAGAGTTATTGGGTGAGTGTTAGTTTAGTTGGGAAGGGGTTTACATTAAGGGAGTGAGTTCTTCGAAAACATTTTCTTGTGTGTGTGCTGGATTTAAAGATACATGGAGCCATGGTGAACAAAGAAGAAACATCTTCGACAGATGTGTCAAAAATCTTGGCAACCTTGATGCAAATATACATAAAAGTGGACCAACAAAATGAAGATCTTTATCAAATTCGAAGGAATGTTGTTGGAGAAGGAAATTGCATGGATAGTGCTTGCCTTGGACAAAGGAACGTACCATCTGATGATGGTATTGATGGTGGTTTCTGGAGGAGTACTTGCTACCAAGAAGATGATTATCAAGAAAGAGAGAGGATAAGAAGAATCCGATATTATGAGTCGATTGAAAAATATTGTGCACAAGAACATCAAGGTCCCTTCAAACCAAGTCAAGAAGCTATTGCAAAGACAATGATGATTAAAGAAAGAACAAGACTTTGTCTAGGTGAGCAAAAGAGACTTGAAGAAGAAAAAGCTAAAGAAGTTCAACGGCAGTTGAATACAAGTCTTGAGTATACGAAATTGTTGGTGCTTGAAGAGCAAAAACAAGCTCAAGCTAGAGCTATTGAATTACAAAGGCTTGAAGAGTTGCAACGTGCAAAAGAAAAAGAACTTGAATTACAAAGTTTTGAGGAGTTGCAACGTTCAAAAGCAAAAGAGCTTGAGTTGTAGAGGCTTGAAGTTGAAAAACTGAAGCAAGAATGTGAAGAATGGAGACATGACTTCGAGAGTGAGATACAAGATTTGGTGATTGAGCAAAATTTTTCTAACCAACATAATTCTTTCATTGTTTCTGTTTTTTGTTCACAGCTTGAAGTTATAGAAGAGCCTAAGGCTCCGTTTGATAATCACTGAAGTCTGAATCTGAACACTTAAAACTTAAGTCTGAAGTCTGAAGACTGAATTTACATTGTTTGATAAACACGTCCGAATTTAATGTCTAAATATTGAAGTCTGAAGTCTAAAGACTGAATCTAAAAGTAGATATTACACTTGGTAAATAATAAATATATAATTAAATTTAAATTATTACATATATATGTATACCTTGTTATTTAGCAAATTTCATGTATTTAAATTAGTTTAATTTGAATTTGAAAGTTTGAGATCTTTTATACTCATAATATAAATTCAACTTTAAGCACTCTTAATTAATTCATCTTAAGTAAATAAAAATTTTAAAACAACGTAAAAATAAGCGTCGATATAAAGACGAAGGAAAAAAAGAAAAAAAGAAAAAAGAAAAAAAAGAGTTATTACAGAAATTAAGTGATAAGTGATAAGTTGTAGGCCTATCACTTATTTTCTGGCTCATAATTGAACTGGACATTCAGACGCAATTAATTAATTCAGATAGTAAAATTCTAATTATCAAACGCACTTAATTTATAAGTACTTAATTAGTTTAGAACTTAATTCATTAAGACTTTTTAGTAGCGATTATCAAACACACTTAATTTCGTTAAGTACTTAAATAAATTAAGTCACTATATTAAGTGATTATCAAACAGAGCCTAAATCAATTCCTATAAAGTCTGAAATTCAATCACTTGAAGATGTTAAGTAGAAGCATTGCATCCTTTTACATTGTTTCAGGAAGTTGAACACATTGAGTTTGTGTTTGGTGACGTCTTTTCCAAGAGCGAATTGGTTTTATATCCATTCAACCATTCTGAAATTTTTGTTGGCCAATGTTCATATGTGAAGAAGCAAAGGAAGTGTGTGAAGAAATTGATCCTCCATAATTAGATGTTGCAAGATTAGAGGATGAATCTTTTTGAAGAAAGGGGGAATGACGTGAAAATCCCTAGGCCATTAGGGATTATTCCAAGTCATGATGATCGCTATATTATTATGGTTATACATGACTTGAATATCTTCAAAATGGTTCATTTGGTAAGTGTTGATATCAAAGATGACAGTAGATTGAGACCAAAGTTAGGCGTGTTGAAATCTAGTCGGTGGAACAATGCAATCAACATGATGAGATCTCGTCGACCTCTAATGTCAGCCGACAATAAAGTCGATGGTCTATTGTCAACCTCGCCGTCAATTGATTTATGTCGACAACAAAGTCGACAAAGGGTGTGTCAAGTACTTCGCCCAAACAAGACACCCGACGGTAAAGTCGACAGCAGAACCTTAGTTTTCGAGTAACGGGTTTTCAACAATTTTTCTTGAAGTTTTTCAAGATTTTTGGCCTTCCACATGTCAAATCAGACTCCACGAAGGATTTACAAGGTGGCAGATGAGAATTGGAATTTTTATTCAAGAGATTATATTTTATTATGTTTCCGTTTTAGACTAGGTTTTGTTTCTTATTTGTGTTGGATTTTGAATTTTCCTTGATTTTTTTGACCCTCAAATGTTTTTATTATTCATTTTAGTATACTTTTAGTATTAAATAATTGTGACATGGGTAATTATTTAATTATTTCTTAATTCTTATGTTTTAGGAAACTTATAGTTCAAGAAATCCGAATAAGAGTTGTAATCGGATTTCTCTTCCTCCTTGTCCGACATAGACCCTTCCTTGGCCTATAAATAGAGCTCTTGGTCATGGCTTTGAAGGATAATATGATATGCCTTTGATGAATTATTATTCAATACAAACTTGTGAGGCAAACTCCTTGTTCCTTGACCTTTTGAGGTTATTCGGCTTTTTGCAATAACTAGGGTTTTGCATTAAGTAGCAAACGTGCATCCAATGGTAGTGTACTTGTTTGTGATGTTCTTTAGGTGTCATTGTAAGGGAGCACATCTATCCATCGTCATCATAATTGTTAGGTGGTGGTTGTTAGAATCGTTACTCTTGGGATTACATCAATATCACATTCTTCCGTTCCTATCTGTTCATCCTTTTGTTTCGGATTTTTGTGGTCCGAACCTCTTTTTGGTTCATATGTTTGTGGCTATTTTGGTGTAAGAATTCAAGTCTTGGAGTTTGCTTCCGCGTTCATTGGTAATTTTCATATCATTCAAAAACTTTGTTGTTTTCACGAAAGATGATGCATTAAAATTTTATATTATCACTGACAGATTAAGATCACTTGTGACATATAAGCATGGTAGGGGGACTGCACTTACCCCAAGCCTTTCAGACGGCCGATGCACAAACTAGGCCTGTCGATCGGGTCATTTTATCGGGTAAACGGGTTTGCATATTTGGTTATTCGGGTTAACCGGTTAAAATGGATTAACCTGAATCAAATCAAATTTCCTCCTCTAATAAAACCCCAAAAACCGACTTCGGTAATTCGGGTTTTGGGTCGGGTCTTCGGGTGCACCCGACATAAGAATCCAATGAGTAGTTTGACGGATAGCACGCTATATCAAATGACAAAAATCACAAGAAACCCATAATTAGAAAAAGATTCAGATTCACCCTGCTAAGAACAATTAATAAAACAAATTGATTATAATAAACTTTCACGTATGTGTTTACCGAGGCCCTTCTTCATTCAGTATTCAAGTCAGTAGAAGCTAATCCCACTTGCTAGAAATCGGCCTTAAGGAAACCACCACCAATCCAAGAAAACAGTGTAAAAAAAAAACTAACAAACACAAGAAATCTGATTAGCAACGAGCTTTGCCATGCGATCGGAGACCAATCCAGATATGGGGGGAAATTCAGCCGGAGCCTCGAGCCAAATAAATTACTAAACCCACACAGATCTCTTCAATAAATCCCATAGTAACACACTAAGCACTTAGATCTGATGATGAAGAACATCACCCAAATGGATTTGAAGGTGAATCTTGGTGAAACCCAAACTTGTTTACGTGAAGGATGATGAAGGTCGAAGGAGGTGGAATAGGTGGTTGGAAGAAAATCTCGACTGAGTTCGGATAATTCGGGTGTATAATGAACTACCCGACAATACTCACTGAACTAAATGACTAATTCACTTTTTGACCAAATAGGAACCAGTAAACCGATTTAAGTGCACCCAAAATATAAAAGTAAGTTTGGGTCGGTTCGGGTCTCGGTTTACCTGACCCAATGAACAGGCCTAGCACGAACCACACCCGAGTAATCCAAGACCGATGTAACACATTTCATAATGTTATTTATCAACCGAGTTTTTAAATTTAATTTAGTTGTAATGTGTGTTTTGTATATAGAGGAGTTGAGTGAAGAGTAGATATTTTCACGGTAAATTATTGCTGTGTATATATCTGGACATAATTATTATTTTTTTAGAGGCTATGATCCTGAAAAGAAATGTTTGTTTGCACCAAATCTGCCCACCCCTTAGATATGTAGATAGACTATTTACACCACTTAGAGAATGGAATGACTTGTATTAAGCATTCATTAATGAGACTATTACATTAATTATCACATTGACAGCACCAAATATGGACATTCTTCACATATTTGAGCAATCGATCATACGCTTCCAATTTCATTATCCCGAATTCTCCACGTCTTATATTTTTCTCGTGGAAGATAACATCATATTAATATTGTTCATCTTAGCAACATGGGGTCTTTTTTATAAAAAATTAAATTATGCTTAATCCCTAAAAAAAGATAGTTACTTCTCTTTAGTTAATTTAATGGTGAATATTGATACTGTCGTAGAAATCCTTAATATACAAAAAAAAACCCTAACAACCAAATCATACATTTGTTGCAAATTTTTCAAGGGTCATCTAAACAAAAACTAAACGAAGTAATTTTGCGCAAAAAAAGGCAGGGAAGGATGACCTTGAATCTTTGATGAAAAATATATCTAGGGTCATCTGCCCCATTTCTTGATGGATGGAGTAACCCACGTCCCATCAATCCAATCTTGATAAATCCTCAACCTGTCAATCCCATAATTACGAAGTTGTTCTTCGTTCCTCTCAAAATACACATTATACACCGATCCAATTTTCTCAATTATCCTCCCAACCCGGCATCCATCATTATGGAACACATCAACTGCTTGATCCAATAGGTTGGTACTTAGTTCGAGCTACGAGGTTTGTACCATTTATCATTTATTTTTTCTTGGCTTGAAAGTTAACGATTCCGACTTGCCTAAATACTAAATTTCAAAGAATCCTTTAAGAAAAGAAGCTATTTTTGGGTCTGTCTAGCTATTCAGCACGATGTCCAGAGAATACAATATATTTATGCTTCCATTTTGATTTTTTGTCAGAAATAACAAAGACTCGTGTAAACATTAAACAAGGTATCTATCATTAAAAAAACGTTATGTCGGATTTGATCAGGCATGCAATAAAAAGATTAAATATTGATTATAAACTCTTCTAGCACATGCCCGCAGGCCGCATTTCGCACGATGGTTTTCTATCATTGTGTTGCTTTTGTCTATAGCTTATGAGAACTTGTAGTTAGAATAGAACAAATATGTTAGAGACATTCCCATCAAATTATTGAGAATATATAAACAATTAGAAGCATATCTTAATCCGTAGTGGCAATAATATTGATTCGAGTTTGGTCTTTCAGATAATTTCGTCAAACTTTTGAGAGAACCTCTAAACAACATGGAGCAGAAATCTGACACGAAGGCTAATTTCAGGACCGTAACCAATTTATATTAGGATTTCTGATTCCAACTACCACGGAATAGGAAACCAGGTTTTAGAGTTTTTAAACAATGTTGGGCAACGCCAAATAAAGTGTAATAAGCCCAAGTTACTTTAACCATAAT